CTAAATTCATTGGTGCCAGAATTAATGAAATCCAACATGTTCTAGGGGTCGCGAATCCAAATATAAAAAATGAATTTTTGCGAAAAAACGTCAAAACTCAAGCTTTTTCTCTTATAGATCAGCAATCGCGCTGCTTTTCATTACTTAACCCTAATGGCTGGCTAGAGCAGCTATTCAGCTTTCCATTGACACCTAATTCGATTGCATGCACCTCTTAGTTGACCTTCTAGTTCAGGTCAAAGGCTTTACCTGCGTTTTGGGAACCAGATTCCAAAATATTCATAGTTTTGACTTTTCCATTTATTCGAAAACACATATCAATATTTTGCCGTCACAGTCTTTTCCATGATATATTTCCCTCTTAAAAAAACAAACATCATTGAAATAGGTCAATAACTCTAGGAGGAGATGCAATTTGAAAGTTCAATCCCCCCTCTATTCAACTCTCACAGTTGCATCAGAGCAGACTTGCTGAAGCCACTCATCTGCTTCCTGTGCTTTTCCACAAGTTGCATGACATCCTGCAGCTGCTGCTCATCCTTCGTGACTGAACCAATGCAGTCCTGCATAAGCTTTATTCCCCTTTCGGCCACGTCATTGGTTACCTTCAGGCTTCTGGAGAAATCTTTCAGCTTCATGAACTCTTCGTTTTTCTCCCAGTCTTCCACTGGTGACATCAGCCATGCTGTGCCGCACACATGATGCTCCTTGAAGATCATCCATGAACGTTCATCTATCAGGTCGGAAAGCCGTGTAGTCTGTTGGATGACCAAGTTGTCGTTGGCGTAGTCGTTCGTTTCTTCTAGGCAGCTCAATTTGGTCGCCATCTCCTTTTTCTCTGCCGCACTCAACTTCTCGCTGCACAGCGACAGAACGACGGTCTGTGGCCTTAGATACCACAGGTGGCGGCTCGCGACCGCCAGCACCGCATCAGCCACCTCACAGTCCACGGCCCTGTAGCGGAGGAGTTCGTGATGCAGTTGCAGGTCATTCACAGGCGCATCCTCGGCTACTGGTGATTTCAGCCACGCCGGTGTGTACAGCAGAGACACAAAGATCGCCATCCTCTGCAGCTTGACGCACAGGTCACTGCTGAGCTCTAGCTGGTGGCTAAACATGCAGATCTTGAGGTAGTATCCACGCAGACGGTCAGCAGGTAGCTAACGGTCCTGTGTCGGAGGTGACTGAGCCAGTCAGACTCTGGTAGATTTGCAATGTCCAGCCTGAGATACTGAGAGTGATCTAGTTGACTCCACCTTTTCTTAAGAGTCTGGAAGAGAGGGTCCGTAGGGGCCGATGTTTTGCCGAAGATGTTGCTGGCAGCGGCTCTCACCACCAGTTCCATGACGTGGTGTCTGCACCCAAGCCTCAACAGCTGTTTTTCCAGCAGCGCCTGCAGATGGACAACCGCACCTTGGACTCGCCCTGTGTTGGACGACGTTGTATCAAAGCACAGTGCCTTGACGTTTGAAGCGCAGCTCCAGTCCTCGATAGCACGAGCTGTTGCGCGTGCCTGGGTCAGGCCAGTGCCATCCTTCACTGGCAAGACAGCAAGCATCTTCCCTTCCTCATGGCCGCGCCCTGAGATGAAGATGGCCTGTCGGTGTTCTTCTTCTCCCACGACGTTCTGAAATAAGAGAAATATAAAAATTCAGACAGATAATGAAGAATTATCAAGGCTGCCTTTTTCTCCAAGCTTTTTGTTAATGATTTGATACATTTCTAACAATATATTACAATAGTCTAGGCTTTGGTAAAATATTAATGTAGTACCTTAACCAGCTTACCATCCCAGTGCACCACTGCATGTGGTGGAGGCGTGAAGGCTTCCCTTTGTGCGGCAGCTACCTGACGACGGTGTGAAGCTCGCGCCCGTCTCGCAGTCTCTCTCGAGATCCGGAACTCAGACAGATCGCCTGGCGGGTTAGCAGAGCGCAGCACTGCTGCGACCACCGAAACTATCTGCGAGCAAAAGCAGGTAAGGGTGTCAGTAGAAAATGTCGACTGTTTAAGTGCTTATCAAATAATTAACAGAAATTTCAAACATTCCAAACACATTTATGGATACACTTACTTCGTTATTGGATATCCGAAGACGGTCAGCGAGTTCCTTTAATGCTGGCTCTTGGAGAATGCGACGTGGAAGCTGAACCGTCACATAAGGGTGCTTTGATGTGTACCTGCCAGGTTGTATCGCTGTGTCCTTTTTCTCCATTTCTACTTCCGTTGGGGTGTCAGCCACCACAGAGGTTTGAGGTCTCGAATCACTGCTGCTTGGTTCACAGGCTGCGAACCTTCCCTGTTTCGACTTTGCTTCTCGACTCGTTCCTCCTGCTTTCTCTTCTTAGCGGCAAAAATCTTATCGTTACCACTCATGAACGCTTTTCTTTCTCCGCGTTGGTCTTGATAGAAGGCGATGTCTTGTTGTTTGTCGGCCGGTGTAAGCAGCCGGTTCTTCTCGATGTCCTCTACGGCGTCCGGTGCTCCGATGTCCCACAACAGGTCAAGTTGAGACTTGAAGTTTTCAACCTTGTCCTTTGCAGCCCTGTCCCGACTTTTTTGTAGACTTCTCCAGTGCTCCCATAACCTTGTCAGCTTCTCCCGGCACCCCCTCTCTGAGATAGTCTTGATGCGAGCTAAATTCCAGAACGTGAGTACGTTTCTCACTGTTTCTTTAAACGTCTCCTGTCTGTCACCAGATTCATTCACTGTGTGAAAGAAGAACTTCAGGACTTGACGCATCGTCGGGAGTTTACTGCCTCTAATTGACGATGCTGGCTGGCCTACTAGATAGATTTCAGTGGCAGAACGGGTAGTGGATGATGTTGGCCTGACATTCCCCTTAGCATTCTCCCCCGACTGCGACTCACTCTCTTCCATGATTGTATGTATATAAACAGATGAACTCTGTAAGAAAAAAACGTTTTGTAATAAAACAAAATAGGCAAACAAAATAGGGTCACATAAGAGCAATTTAATCACCTGTAGAAAATACAACATAAATAGATAACCATAAATTTACTGCCACACTATATAGCAGATTTGAGTAAATTATAAAATAACACCACAGTACCAACAACAACACAACACATGTCAAAACACTGCAAAGAAGCGCAGGGTTTTAAAGCTGCCAATGTGAACCTAGTGAATTTATAACTCCGTTAACGCAGGTAGGCTACAGCCTTTGACCTGACTTAGAAGGTCAAATAAGAGGTGCATGCAATCGAATTAGGTGTCAATGGAAAGCTGAATAGCTGCTCTAGCCAGCCATTAGGGTTAAGTAGTGAAAAGCAGCGCGATTGCTGATCTATAAGAGAAAAAGCTTGAGTTTTGACGTTTTTTCGCAAAAATTCATTTTTATATTTAGATTCGCGACCCCTAGAACATGTTGGATTTCATTAATTCTGGCACCAATGAATTCAGGAGTAACAAAATAATGGGAAAAAACACCCCCACCCACAATTTTAAAAAAGTGTGAAAAAATGAGCAACCCTAGTGTACACTACAGGTTTGCTCTTAGGTCATTTATTTCTATTATGTTACTTTTAGTATGGTGTGTGCATGTAGATGAATGAAAATAAATGAAGAAATTTATGTAAATCTACCCAAAAATACAGTTGAAAACTTTACATTGTAAAATGTACTAATGTACTAAAAATTTTATCTCTTGTGCAAATAATATGACGTTTATATTCAAATTATTCACTGTCTTGCAAGGATTGCAGCAATGTAAATTATATTATTCTAACTTTAGTCTGTGATATTATATAAGATGAAAACTTAAAGCCTACTCAAAACCACCAAACCTTTGTTGGGAGGGAGGGAGGGGGGTGACAGTGACATGTTTGACAGTTAGAGCAAAGGTCTAGTGAAGTATTTATTTGTTTATTTATGTCCTTTAGATTGAGTTTTTGTTTTTTGCTTATAAAATTTGATAGAAGTGACCGGGGAGAATATAATTTACATTGCTGGAATTCTTATACGATAGTGATTAATTTGAATGAAAACATGCAATAGTTTGCACAAGACTAAAATTTTAGTATTCATTTTGTACTTTATTTTGATTACATGTACAATACAGCTTTGCCCTTAGGACAGTGTATGCATGTAAATGAGTTTCAATAAATGAATACAGTTACATATATCGAGCCAAAAATAATAGTTGAAAAGCTTTATGTAGACTGAGCTTGGATGGCTAAATTTTAGAATGACCAATAATTTTAATATAAAAAATGCACAAATATTAAAGAGCACAATTTTCTTGATGTTTACTCCACTGGAAATGAATATAAACATAGAACAGATTACTGAATTACTGAATTGGCAGACTAGCCTGTAAACAAAATGTGATGTTCAGAAGGATTTCAAGTGACCTAATTTTTGTTCAAGAATCCCAATTGAAGACTCTTGCGGAAGGTAATTCGCTAACCGAGGGACCACTGTATTATGTATTTCAGTCCCGTCAGTGTACTGACAAATTTTGTTTGTAATTCACTTTAAAATGGCTAAAAGCTTAAAAGTGAGAGAATTTTGTGGTGTTTAGAATAAAAAGAGACACTCCATTTTAGGATTTTCTATGTATTATTTAGCATTTTCGACTTTCATTTAATTGGATTTGGGTCCCTAAACTCCAGTCAGAATCGAAGGAGCTATATAAATACATTGTAAATGTACTAATGTAGAAGTCCAAGGTAGTTTTATTGGCTAATGAAATATATATATATATATATATATATATATATATATATATATATATATATATATATATATATATATATATATATATATATATATATATATATATATATATATATATATATATATATATATATATATTTATATATATATATATATACAGTAGTACCCCGATTTACGCGGTCAATTGAACCCACAGGGTACCGCGGAAAGTGAAAACCGCGTAAAGTGAACAACAGAACATATGGGATTAATTCCAATAGAGACTGGCCCGACCCCCAAACTCCACTTTTTCCGACACAATACCTATGTTGTAGTAAAAATAACATCTAAATTTTATGATGGTATGCTCACACAATTAATATTTAAGAGAAATACAGTCACCAGGCTAATGTCCATTCAAATAATGGACTCAAATCCCCCCCCCCCTCATCCCAGCTCACTAGCTCCTACCTCTCTGAGAAATGATTGGGTGAAAACACTAGATTTTAACGTTTAGTAATAAATAATACCTTAGACTAAAGTTAGGATAATATAATTGACATTTCTGGATTCCTTGCAGGTCAGGGAATATTTTGAATGTAAACTTCATATATTTTCCACAAAAGATAAAATATTTGCTTTGTGTAAACCAAATTATTACATTAGATCTAAAATTTGTATGTCTAATGCAAAATCCATGATGTTTATATTCAAAATGATCATCATATTGTAAGAATTCCAGCAATGTAAATTATATTCTGGCCGGGTAATTTGTATGAATTTTATGAGCTAAAAAAAAATAAAAAATTATACTTCACGCGTATATGAGTAGATGCACCGCGGAAAGTGAAAGTCCGGTTCTGGCAAGGTACCGCGTAAATGAGAAATCGCGGAAAGTGAAACCGTGTAAAGCGTGGTAATACTGTGTGTGTGTGTGTGTATATATATATATATATATATATATATATATATATATATATATATATATATATATATATATATATATATATATATATATATATATATATATATATATATATATATATATATATATATATATATATATATATATATATATATATATATATATATATATATATATATATATATATATATATATATATATATATATATATATATATATATATATATATATATATATATATATATATATATATATATATATATATATATATATATATATATATATATATATATTGATAAAATCACACGGGAAAAGGGAAACAGTTGCCTCTGAAGATGTCTTGAATAAAGACGAAAGCTAAGGTGATCCGCTGTTTCCCTTTTCCCGTGTAATTTTATCAAGATTTATCTTATCCACGTTTTCATTGTGGATCTACATGAAATATATAATATATATATACAGTATTACCCCGCCTAACGTGGTTTCACTTAACGCGTTTTATCATATACGCGGTGCCTCACCAGAGCTGAACTTTCACTTAACACGGATTTTTTCCACATATACACGATGAGTGTCCGCCTCGAGACGCTATTTTTAGATTTGCCCCACCCGCCACCCGCCACCCTGCCTGACTGCTTGTTTTAGCTCATAAATTTCATACAAATTACCCGGCCAGAATATAATTTACATTGCTGGAATTCTTATAATTTGGTGATCATTTTGAATATAAACATCATATATTTTGCATTAGACATACAAATTTTAGATAAAATGTTTTCTCTAGTAAATATGTTATCTTTTGTGCAAAATATATGACATTTATATTCAAAATATTCCTGGTCTTACAAGGAATCCAGCAATGTCAATTATATTAGCCTAACTTTAGTTTGAGGTATTATTTATTAAAATTTAGTGGTTTTCCCACACATCTCCTTGGGACGGTTGGTGGGGGGTGGGGGGGGAGGGAGGGACCGACCGACCATCTGTTACCCCGTGAAGAATATTTTTTTTTTTATTAACTGAAGATATTTGTTTTAGCTCATAAAATTCATACAAATTACCCGGTCAGAATATAATTTACATTGCTGGAATTCTTATAATTTGATGATCATTTTGAATATAAACATCATATATTTTGCATTAGACATACAAATTTTAGATAAAATGTTTTTTCTAGTAAATATGTTATCTTTTGTGCAAAATATATGACATTTATATTCAAAATATTCCTGGTCTTACAAGGAATCCAGCAATGTCAATTATATTATCCTAACTTTAATCTGAGGTATTATTTAATACAAAATGTTAAAATTTATTTTTTTCACCCACTCTTCTCTTGAAGGGAGGAGTGGTGGGG